GAGTGACTTAGAAGCTTCATGAATTCTGATATAACATTTCAAACTGAAGTTTCATTGTCACAAATCTGCTATGTATCAGTTTAGGACCAATTATGAACAATATGTAATATTTAGTTTAATTTAATCTGTGTGAGTTGTACAGGGGAAAATCCTTATTGGACATTTTTACCTGTAGTGTCAACACAGGCCAAGTATCCCATGGATGCACCTGGGGATATTGAGGGGGGCCTCTAAGAGCTCCCTGGCAAAAAGAAAAGAAAATCTAATTTTGCTATAATTTCACTCTTCAAATTTACATTGAATAAAGAAACTAATGTAGGGGGTGTTTTGTGGAATCTTTGGACTCCTGTACTAAATCATCTGCATTAAACATGACATATTGGGTTGGGTTGCTTCACACTCTATTTCTTAATCTATCTGGACGTCACTGAAATACAGAAAACTTTGGGAACCTCTGCGCCGAAGTATGTTTGTTTACAGCTCTCCGTTTCCAAGGAATGTCTCATGTGGGTGTCCAACCGCTGTGGGCTCCACCTCCTCCTGAAGACACCCTCTGGCTGTCAGCTTGATGATGTTTTTCAGCCAATTCCCTACTGTTCTGAAGCACAAACAAGTCTATTCTGCAGGGCCGATTGCAGCCAAAGTTTCGCAAGAGAAGGGGAAAAAAAGGTGTGGGGGCGTACAGTTTTTGGAGGCTCTCCAGATCATTAAAGTGTCATGTTTCAGCCCCACACATTCTCTACTCCCTTACTGGTGAACACTGAGACACGGTCTCCACTTGTACTTCTCAGGGAGGAAATCCACCCAGACGCAAACAGACAGACTTATGTGTGTATGTGTGTCAGTGTGAGGTAAGAGAAAACACAACAAGGCTGGCTATCATTCAGACCACACACTCATTACAAGCAGGGTGAGTGTATTAGTGTAATTGGGTAATGAAGGTGAGGCCAGGAGGGGCTGTGCATTGTTTCTCAAACATGTTGAGTGTGTGTGTGTGTGT